CTTCAAAACATTACAACAAAGCTAATAAACATGCAACTCGGCACTGGATCTCAGGCATTCAAGAAAGCAAGAAGCTTGGGACTTGGCGACCTGGATTTTTCTGCAGTGCACGAGGTGCTGAAAGGCACAGGTGGTTCAGGCTAAAGCGTGATCGGGGGCTGAATGTTTAAAACCACATGCCATTGGGCATATATGCAGACATTCTTGTAGTTTGTCCAACCCATGTGGCTTACCATCGTACTATTGATATGTACATTCAACAGTTGATGCCGGATTGTGCTGTACGATGTATTTTTTGAAACAAGGCAAAAGATTTGCCATTTTCATTGATTAAGGGAGAAGGTTTAAGACAAATGGCCGCAAAGCGGGAGACAAATATCTACTCTCGCGGCATTACAATACTCAAGTGGGTGGCACCGGCAATAGCCCAAAGATGGGCCTCCTCTTTTATCTTCGCGATGAGCATCATCGTTGTAGTGTCGGTGTTACGGAAAACTCTTCCATTACGCTCTTTCCAAATCTCCCAAGACATGAGCATGAACAGGGAGGCGATAGCCTTTCTCTGATCTCCACGCTCAACCACATTTTTAATCCACCATTCTTGAACCGAAACCTCATTTCGCCAGTTCCTCACCACATCACCATGTATACCGAGCCATGCTGCAACCTCGATCCAGACACGCTGGGAGAACCTGCATTGGAAGAGAAGGTGTGCTGCGGTTTCCTGGACTTGCTTGCAAAGCGGGCAGAGGTTGCAGTTCGGCCATCCACGACGGTGCAATCGATCGGCTGTCCAAACTCTGTTTTGAATTATCAACCAAGCAAAAAAATTGCATTTCGGAGGGGCCCAACCCTTTCAAACAGCAGCAGGCATGATGCTTGTCGTGTGTCCCGCAAACTGCGCCATATAGGCGGTCGACACCTAAAAAGTCCATGAGACGTGAACTTCCATAGGATAGTATCATGCACATCATTGTCGAGAGTAACAGAGGATAGCTTTTTCCATAGCAAGGCGAACTCCTGGATATGCTCCATGGTGAGCCCATGATGGGTATCAATCTGACTAACCCAATAATTGTTGAGGAGAGCTTTTTGGACCGAGGTAGATTTCTTTTTGGAGAGGTCAAATACCTTTGGGGCAATATCTTTGGGTCTCATACCGTTGAGCCAAGATGATTCCAACTTCGCCTTACATCCGTTTCCAACACTAACCATGGTGGCTGCCGCAAACAGGTCTCTATCATCATCATTGCACGGTGTTCCCGTCCCAGCCCAAGTCTTGGGGGGGTCAGCCCACTCATACCAAAGCCATCGCAGTCGAAGGGCAGTAGCAAACTTCTCAAGGTTGAGGATGCCCAAACCACCGAAGATCTTGGGCTTGCAAACAAGTTCCCAGTTGACCTTACATTTTCCACCGGTCACTTTATCGCAACCCGCCCAAAGGTAGGCACGCCGCAAGCTGTCAATCTTCTTCCTCACTTCCACCGGCAATTCCAGGGGCGTAATATGATATATAGCAATGGCGGTAAGCACTGCCTTGACCAAGACGACACGACCTGGCGCGGCCACATGTTTGGCAACCCAAGGTGGTAGTTTCCCCGCAACTTTATCCTCTAAGAACTGAAAGTGAATCCTCTTAAGCCTTGAAACCGAAAGGGGAAGCCCCAAATATCTCATAGGGAAGGTGGAGCGAACCGCTAGGAAGGCTTGCAGGACGTCATCAAGGTCAATGTTACCGCATCGAATGGGCGCAACTACACTTTTGGCACAATTAGTGACCAATCCTGTAACATCACCAAAGGATGCAAGAGTTGAAGCCAGGAACTGAATGCCATTTTTTATTGGGGCAATTAAAATGGCAGCGTCATCAGCATAAAGTGACGCACGGATGGGTCGACCTCTGAGCGGTTGAAGATGACCTTGAGAAGTCGCCTTGGCAAGGATGTGGTGCAACGGGTCAATGGCAAGCACAAATAGCAATGGGGAGAGAGGGTCCCCTTGACGAAGGCCCCGACCATGCCGAATTGGGTCACCGGCAATACCATTGAGCAACACACGCGAAGATGCCGAGGAAAGAAGGGCGGAGATCCAATCTCTGAAGCGACTTCGGAAGCCATGGTGGCGCAGCAAATCCATCAAGTAATCCCAATGCACCGAATCAAAAGCCTTCTTTATGTCAAGCTTGAAAAGCAAAGTTGGTGTAGTTTTGCGTTGGAAGCGCCTAGCCAAGTTGCGCACATACATAAAATTGTCATGGATACTTCTTTTCTTGATGAAAGCACTCTGTGCATTGGAGACTAGTTTGTGCATATGAGGAGTGAGCCGTGTGGCCATCATTTTTGCAATGATCTTGGCAATACCATGGATGAGACTAATTGGTCGAAAATCTGAGATGTCCTCTGCACCATCTTTCTTCGGAATGAGAGCTATGTTTGCCGAGTTCAGCCAATGCAAGTTGGAGACATGAAGGTTAGAGAAGTTGTTGATGACCTCCATGATTTCAGGTTGGACTATTTCCCAACACTCTTTGAAGAAGGCTCTGGTGAATCCGTCAGGGCCTGGGGCTTTATCACTAGGGAGGGCAAAGATTGCCGCCTTGACCTCCTCCAACGAGAAAGGCATCGCCAAGTCTGCGAGGTCAGAAACCGGAGCAGGGATGAATTCCCAGTTGAGGTCCATAGCACGGGGCACCCCTTTTTTGATGGCCTTCCTAAAGTGTTCTTGTGCAATCGTCTTCTTATCCTCGTGGTTTGTGACCCATCCATTGTTATGTTTCAACCGATGAATAAATTTTTTTCTTCTTCTGTGGTTGACGCGAAGGTGGAAGAAACGCGTGTTGGCATCACCCTCTTTGAGCAAAGTAACCCTGGAGCTTTGTCTCTTTCTAGTTCTCTCAAGAACGGCAAGGGCCACAATCTTTCTTTTGAGCTTCCTCCGAAGGTCCCTCTCCTCAAAGCTCAATGTTCTACTTTCTTGGGCCAAATCCAATCTAAGAATGATATCAAGGGCCATGTGAAGTTGGACTTTTTGCTCCAAGTGCGAAGGCGTTGACTAACTCTTTATAGCTTGTGAAAGAGGATTTGACATGGTTCAACATGGGGGACTCTCTCATTCCAAGCATCTTGGACAGTCTTCTTGAAGTTAGGCATCTTGATCCAAAAGTTTTCAAAGCGGAAGCATTTTGGCCGGGAGGGCCCCACATCACTAGCGAGGAGTAGAGGGCAGTGGTCGGACAATGAAGATGACAATGCGTGGAGAAGGTGGGAGCCAAACTGAATGTCCCAATCTTCATTGCAAAAGAAGCTATCAAGTTTTCTCATGGTCGGGTTTGCTTGTTCATTGCTCCATGTGAATTTCCTATTCTGCAAATGTATCTCCTTTAGCTCACAAGCATTGAGGGCGTTGCGGAAGCGAACAATACGGCTGCGATCGACATTTGTACGGTTCTTATCTCTGGCCCGATAGACTTGGTTGAAGTCGCCGGTGACAATCCATCTCATGCCAGCAGGAGGTTTTTGTCCAACCATTTCATGGAAAAAGGCATCCTTCAAATTGCCTCTAGTAGGGCCATACACGGTTGTGATTTGGAAGGATGTGTTTGAGCCAATGATAGTCACCATTGCCGAGAGGAAGAAGTCCCCAAAGCTCACATTATCAATCTTTACTAGGTCTTCATTCCATAATAGAAGAATTCCTTCACGGGTGCCATTCGCGGGCCGCTCAGCGAAACTTTTCAGACGATGGCTGCCTAGGAAAGCAGCGATAAAAGGATCCACGGCTGCAAGCTTGGTTTCTTGAAGACATACAATGTTGCAAGAAGTGGAGGCGATGGTTTCATGTACAGTAGAACGACGGTCTGGGCAGTTCAATCCACGAACATTCCAATTCAAAATGCATAAGTTGTTATCTTCCATTAGAAACTAACAATACATCCATCATCGGTGCAGCAACATCATCATGTCGTCGCCGTGGCCTCCTCACTTCCCATGGCCTGTAGGTCTGGGGCCGTGTCGCCACCATGCTCAACTAGGGCGTCTTCGACAGCAGTGGCCAGGTCACAGTCAAGCTTGAACAGTGCACGCAAAGCCGCCACCGCAATGTCTGGCAGTTTACCATTGAACAATGCGACATACTTGTTGATGCCCTCCTCAGTCATCATTTCACCTTCCTCTATGATACCCAGCCTTTGGCAAAGCAGCTTCTCCGCTAATTTTGCGATAGGCATCGATCGGTTCTTGGCCTGGAGCCGCGGGCTGCAGTGTCCCACTGTGAAACTGGAGATACCAACCAAGGTCTTCCTTCTTCTCGTCGGTGGCCTGGGCGGGGTTGATCTTGGCGTTGGCGATGGCAACAGGGCCTGCTGACAAGGCACAAAGATGGGGGTGCTTTGCTCTGGCTGGTCGGAGCAGTCCCCCTGGGAGCTTTGAGGAGCAGAGGCGACCCCCGCTGGCAAACTTGGGATCGGAGAAGTTCTGGACATGCGAAGCAAGCCAGAAGGGTGCGTCGGGGTGCAGCCATCCAGAAGAGGCGGCGATGGCTGCAACAGATTAGTCGGCCCATTGCGCGTTGGCGACCTCATTCTTCTAATAGGAGGCGTCCTTGGCGGGGAGGAGGTGGGCGTTTGCGGTACAAAGACCGGGGTGCACGTCAGGCTGTTGGTGGATGGAGTCGCGCCCGAAGAGGAGCCTGTAGTCGAGGAGGTTGCACAGCGCATGAGACGAGGCGGCGAGCAAGAAGGCCAGACCGGTGGCATGTTCGGCGCCAGCAATCCCAGGCCCGGGCTCACGCGATGCAGCCAATCAGGAGCAGTTGAGGAAGGGCGCAGCTCGATGATGTCCTGGAATGTAGTGCGAGGAGAAGGCGGTGATCTTTCGTTGCTCCTAGAGCCAGCCGACGAAGGTCTCAGCTCGATGATGTCTCGGTGAGTAGTGCGCGGAGAAGGCAGTGGCGACCGACCACGAGTCTCAATGTTGTGCGGGCTGGTAGTGCTGTTTCTTCGGCGCGCACTCCTCGTCGGCGTGTCAGCTGGGCGGTTTCGGGACCTCCTGCCTAAAGCCGGGATGACAGCGCCATCCGGAAGTCGTTGAACACATCCTCTGTCGATTCACCGGGCGTCGAGTGTCGGGAGCTCCAGGCCACGGCGCATGTCGTAGTTGCCGTCGCAGTCATCTCGTAGCGAGAGCCTTGGCCTCGATTGTTGATACGCCTAGCAGGGGCGCTGGAGCGTTGGTTGCCCTCGCGCCCGTCGTCCCAGCCACGAACATCATCCCAGCAGACCGGATCGCCATGGCCACCACACGGGCGGCATAGAATCCTTCCATCAGCTTCTGCCAGTGGGGGAGACGGAATCATTGCCGGCGGCGGGAGGCGTTCTTGCACTGGCTTCGGTGATTTGTTTGTGCACTGGCGTGCACGATGCCCACTCTGTCGACAAATCAGACATTTTTAGGGGTCACGACAGTCAATCTTGAGATGTCCCCGCTCCAGGCAGCGATGGCAGGTCCGACGGTGATGCTTCACAAAAATTCTGCCTGATGATGGAGGGGAAAAGGAAGGCGAGGACCTCTGTCTTGACTGATGCAGATTGGGAGACAGAGTTCTCCACCAATACGGCGGTTTAACCAGCTTCCAACCCTCCTCCGAGCTTGCATCCACACCCAACGGCTTGAAAGACATCGCACGAGGCGTCGCAGGATTTGAAGGTATGGGCGTCCGCGCCGCGCCCTGACCGGCAGAGAAGGTAGCAGACCGCGCCGTCTTCAGGCATGACCTGGGGGCGCCATGGATGAGCTTAGCAGGAGCTGGATTCAGCAGGTCTTCAGCAGCAGCAAAGCAGACCTTCCGGGCTGGACCCGGGCAACGGAAGCAGGAGCCGCGGGTGGATCTTCTGGGAGGGGATCCGGAACAAATGGCGAGCCTGGAGAGGTAGAGCACCCCGGCAGCAGCACTGGATCTGGCGTGGATCCAGCCAGCTGCGGGAAAAGCAAGAGAACGAGGTCCTCGCGAGAAAACCTTGGGCTGGAGAAACCAGGGGGGCACGGCGGTGATGCAGGGGAGTGACACGGCTGGAAGCAAAGCGGCCCAGCAGCGGCGGCGGCGGTGGCTGCGCGCACCGGCGCGGTGCGTCGCAGGAGCGTGGGCGGAGCCATGTTCGACAGAGTAAATTAGATTGGGCAGTAGCTCGAAATGCTTTACGATGTAGCTGCAAGTTTCGAATTATCGGCTTGTACATGAATGAACCATTGGGGTTTGGGACTTGATTGCTGCCAGGAGTCAGGAGATGAACCCTCCAGACGGGAATAAAAGGGCCAGTTCTTCCTTGATTTTACGACAGCTTCTCTTAGAAGCTGCCCCCTCCTCCTATGGCTCACAGCTCGTTTGGCACCCAGGTCCAATTTTGATGTTTGGCTGTCATGTGGATCTGTGAAATGAAATGAATGTCATATGACGTTTGGCTGCTATTTTGGCACCCGTTAGTTGAAGGAGGGGGCAGAGAAGTGGGTACTTGCGCTAATGAAGTAGTCGATCTGCTCGTCCGCTGCTGGTCTTCGGTGACATGCCGTTGGGTGAGGTAAGGTTAGGGTTCGAGGGGGAGGGGAAGGGGGCTGCGGGAAATCCGGACGAATGCCAGGTCAGAGGGAGCGAATTCA